CCCCTCTGTGTGCCCCTCTGTGTGCCCCTCTGTGTGCCCCTCTGTGTCTCTCTGTATCTGTGTGTGTCTGTCTGTGTGTCAGGGCACTGACACTGGACACATCTCTGCCTGTTGGTTGAGCCGTTGGTCCCTTCAGTCTTTATTACGAGTAGCTGCATTTACAGCATTTTCTTCTCCGTCTCTTTTTAGCTGCAAAGACATTAAGAGGCTGCTGGTGAGCTTCATGTACCTACAGAGCCTTCTGCAGCCCAAGAGCAGGTGAGGTTCTGGCAGATCCCATCTCCTGTCTGTAATTCAGGGATGGAAGGGAGCGTTCCCTGCAGGAATGCAGCATGCTGAGGTTTCTGCCCACGTGTCCAAGCCCTGTTGAGCCCCATAACCATGCAGGGGAGGGGAAGAAGATTGCCCTCCAAAGGAGTTCTTCCCTTCTTAAGCCAGCAGACGCTTTTCTCCTGGCTGAGTTGGGGCCTGCAGTGTGGCCCAGGGTTCCACCATCTGTGCGCACACGGCGCCGCGGGTTGTCTTTGGAAACCTCTCCCAGATGGCAGCGAGCAGCAGGACCCGATTGTGTCAGAGCAAAGGGAAAATTGCCCAGCGGTGATTTCAGTAAAACAGAAAGTGCTTTGGGGATCTGAGAGTTCCAGGAGCTGGAGAAATGCGAGGAGTGGATTTCCTGGGTTGGTTGGCCCTGAGATGCACATGGCAGGACTGTGCTCCCATGCCGGTGTGCAGCCGGGGCAGCGGCAGCGAGCCCTCAGCACCACCACCCCCAGATCTCTCTGTGACCCCTCTGTGTGTGTGTGAAGGTGCTCTGGTTATTGTTTCTCTTTAGCTGAGCAGCTTTGGAGAGGAGAAGATCACAATTCCTCCCTCTTCCAGTACCTGCTGCTGCCTGCAGTGTCTGCTCCATCGCTCTGTGCTGCTCAGTATGAAGCAGAGCCCACGTGTGGCCACGGCCGCCTCTGGGTGCTGCCACGCAGGCATTGCTGGCAGTTTGGCTCTCAGACAGTAATGTTGGCTCCTTTTTTCTCCCTGCGAAGCTCTTTGGATTCTGAGCTGACGTCTCTGTGCCAATCCGTGCTGGAGGATTTCAACCTGTGCTTGTTCTACCTGCCTTCCCCTCCCAACCTGAGCTCAGTGAGCGAGGACGAGGAGGAATACGAGAGCGGCTACTCCTTCCTTCCCGACCTGCTCATCTTCCGCATGGTGATCATCTGCTTCATGAGCGTGCACAGCCTCAGGCGTGCAGGTGAGCGGTGTTTTGTGGGGACTCCCAAAAACCTGCGTGCAGCACAGGGTGGGAGCCGCCTCAGCTGGGTTCTGGGCAAGCCGCTGCTGCCCTCGGCCTCACCAAGCTGTCCTTGCAGGCTCCAAGCAGTACAGCGCAGCCATCGCTTTCACTCTGGCCCTCTTCTCTCACCTCATCAACCACGTCAACATTCGCCTGCAGGCGGAGCTGGAGGAAGGGGAGAACCCGGTGCCGGCGTTCCGCAGCGATGGCGCAGGTCGGTGTGGTCGTGCTCCTCCCCACCTTCCTGCCCCTGGGGGTGCCTTTGGTTTCTGGCGGAGCTCATTATGCGCAGAACAAAACCGTGGAGCCTTTCCCCCTGCAAAGAGTCAGCTTGTAACCCTTCCCAAAATGCAAGGCTGGGCTTCTCTCGGCCAACAGCAGCAGCAGCAGCGATTGATTCCTCCTTGTGTGGCTGCTGGCGCAACAGCTGGCTGAATGCAGCTGGCCCAACTTGTGCTCCTGCCCTGCAGGGTGGATGATTTGGCTCTCAGGGAAAGCAGGGGAGGAGGTGGGAGATCGCGGTGTGTTTTTGTCAGCCTTTGTCTGAAGACAGCAGCACAGCCCAGGCTGCAGGAGCCCGAAGGAATCTGGGCTGCCTGAGATCTCTGAGCTCCTTCAGAGGGCGATTCCTTCCCAGGGCTCTGTGCTGATGGAAGCGGCGGTGAAACCTGCTGCTCGGGGGTGGGAAGGAGCTTGTGTGGAGCAGCTGCTCTTTCCTGACCATGGTTCTCACTTTCCATGCCCACAGATGAGCTGGAGCCGCAGGAGCCCCTCAGTGCCACGGAGAAGGAAGGTGAGGCGGAGCTGCCCAATCACCACCCCAGAGAGGAGGAACGGAAACACGACTGCAAGAAAAGCAAGAAATACTCACGGCTTTCCTGCCTGCGCCGCCGCCGGCACCCGCAGAAGGCAGATGAGAGCGACCTGAGCGAGGGCTTCGACTCCGACTCCAGCCAGGGCTCCACAAAGGGCAGCGACGGCTCCGACAGCGGCTCGGAGAAGAGCGACGAGGAAGCAGAGGCCGCTTTTGACGTGGAGACGGACTCTGACATGAACAGCCAGGAGTCGCGGTCCGACCTGGAGGACATGGAGGACGAGCCGGGCAAGGAGGGCAGCGAGCGAGGCCAGAGCGGGGCCAGGGAGGGCCTAAAAAACGGCGTGGATGGCAGCGGGTCGGGGGACTGCAAGAACACGAGCGGCTCTAAAATGGAGAGTGCGGATCCAGCCGTAAACGGGCCGGTGTCCCTGAGCGCCAGCGATGCCAGCATCGCCAGCAACCTGCAGGCCATGTCCACGCAGCTCTTCCAGACCAAGCGCTGCTTCCGCTTGGCCCCCACCTTCAGCAACATCCTCCTGAAGCCCAGCACCGAGCCGCCCGCCTTGAAGGGCAGCTTGGCTGGCAAGCCCTGCGTCAATGGCGATGTGGAGAAGCCCAGCTCGGCAGAGCAGGGTAAGGAGCCACACGTGCTGCACCACTGCGCTGCGAGCCCTGAGCTTCCAGCGCTCTGCTCACCGAGAGCTGCTGCTCTCCATCGTGAAAAGGTGCAGCGTGAATCTCATGGGCAGAAAGCAATGGGGGAGCAGATTGCAGGTGAAGGAGGGATGGTTTGGCTGGGATGTCGGGGGAAGCTCTGCAGAGAGGTGGGATGGGGCCCTGGGCAAGCTGGGCTGGCAGCAGATCTGGAGCTCAGTGATTCTCGGGCTCCCTTCCGACCCGGCCATCCTGCGGTCCCTGAAAGCTCTCGGGTTTGGAGGTGGGCGCCCCTGCAGCAGCAGGCCTTGGGTCGGGGCTTTCCTGGAGGAGCTCCCCCTGCAGCCCCGTGCCCCCAGCAGAGCAGAGCAGAAGGCTGCGGGCAGCCGGTGCTGTAATTCCAGCTGTGTGGTGAACGCCTCTGATAGCTCCAAAGGGAGTCCCAAAGCTGCTGGAAGATTTCCTCCTCCCCGCAGGCAGTCTCTGCCATCGCACACAGAAACAGTGCAGGTGCAATCCAGGATGTTCTCCATCACCTCTGTGAGTGGGGAGCGAGGGCCGTGTGTGCAGAGTGCAGTAGGTGAAGCTGAGTTCAGTCCTGCCATGAGGAAAGCTGGGGGGAACCAGGAGCAAAGGAGAGCTGATGGGCAGCACTGTGTGTCTCACTGAAAGCACACCATGTCTGTTGTTCCTCCCTGTGCACCCAGAGGCCAAACTGCAGCCCAGGGTTTGGAGGGGCAGCGCTGACGTCTGTGGCTCTGCCTCACAGCTGCTTGGTGGGATGGGGGAAGGGAGGAAGCTGGTTGTGCTGTGTGCAGCGCTTCCTTTTATGCATCCCAGTGGGATGTGCAGATGTTGCAGAGCTGGAAATGTTGCTGGAATAGCACGGCTGTTTGATGGGTGAAGAACTGAGTGCAGAAAGCGGGGCTCAGTGGTTCCATGTGTGGATGGAGCTGGGTGCTGAGAGGTGTCCCAGGGGTCGGTGCTGGGGTGAAACTCTTCCATATCTCCATCGGTGACATTGGCAGTGGGGCCGAACCCTCAGCACTTTGCAGATGGCACTGAGCTGAGGGGTGCAGTGACACAGCAGAGGGATCTGGGCTGCAGGCCCAGGGGAAGCTCACGGGGTTCAGCAGATCCAAGTGTGGGGATCTGCACCAGAGTTGGGGCAGCTCCGTCACCGCTGTGAGCTGCGGTGTCCCCGTGCACTGCGGGGAACGGGGCCCTCAGGTCCTTTCCAACCCTAAGAGGTCTGTGATGGTTCTGGGATGCCTCAAACCCAGCACTGCTCTCCTTCTGCACAGCCTCGTTCCTCTGGAGGCTTTAATGCTCTTCCCCTCCTTTCCCAGACGTGTCTGACTCTGAGGAGAGCGTGTTGAGCGCCAAGTCGTGCAGGAACGAGCGGTCCCTGCAGGAGAAGCTGGAGATTGTGAGCAATGAGGGGCTGCTGCTCACCGTCAAGGTGTTCCTGGACTGGCTGAGGACAAACACGGACTTCATCATCATGTGTGCTCAGGTGGGGGAGGCTCTGGGCTTTGAGCCTCAATCAAGGTGGTGAAATTCGTGCTGTTTTAAGGCGTTCTGGGGTCTGTGGGAGAGCCCGAGTGAGCGTGCAGCTCTCCTCATGTTTTCTTGTGGCTTTTTGTTCCTGCAGAGCTCCCAGAGCCTATGGAACAGGCTGTCCGTGCTCCTCAACCTGCTGCCTTCTGCTGCTGACCTGCAGGAGTCAGGTATGGAGAAGGGCAGCACAGCACAGTGCTCCCTTCTGCCTGCAGCCCTTTGCTTACCAGGGAGGGACTTCGTTTGTGTGCTGTTTTCTGCTCAAACCCCTCTGGGGTCACTTGCCATCCCTTAGGCATCAGCAGGCAGGGACCTCTTCCACGTGTTACACAATCACAGAATGGCCAGGCTTGGAAGGGACTCCAGGCTCACGGAGCTCCAACCCCCGCCACACGCAGGGCCACCAACCTCCCCACGTTTCACAGCAGCCCAGGCTGCCCAAGGCCCCATCCAGCCTGGCCTCCAACCCCTCCAGGGATGGACGGGGCA